AATATCTTAAACTTATTTAACACACCTAAGAATGACAAGTAAACTTGTATTCATGGATAATGTCTGAACTCCCCTACTTTGACAGATAATACTCAGTTTGATTAGGTATAGGTACAAGTGTAACAACTCGCCATGGTCGTCACACTACGAATAACACTACACACTACTAAAATATATATACTAAAATAGTATAATAAAATATTTACAACACAAGTTGCTAATCAAGCAACCAACTACAACCAATTATATACAACAAAAATATGCTACTATAAGATAGTCTACAAAAAAAAAATTCCATCTCCAGGCACTTCCTGTGGCCTCTAGCAACTATCTTCAGTCTATCCCTGCCCTGCTCCCATACAACGTATAATCATCGCAGTCCAAACCACATGGAAACATGCAAGGGTAAGCTAGAGACAATAAACAACTCATAATAATTTAATATGCAACATAACAACTATATAATCATCTTCGCATTTGACACACGAGACAAACAACATATATATTATACTTCTTAACAACTTAAACAACATACAACTTTTCAACTCATCATCTAAATCAACATTCAACTTGAACAACATAGTTTATCAGCACAACAACTCATCACAAATTGTTTAACAACACATTTTAACAAAACAACATCTCATTTCAACTTTAAACAACACAATATATTTTCAACACATGGCACAACATACAACTTTATAGCAACATACAACTCTATACTCAACATGCATCTCCATGTAATTATACAACTTCTTATTCAATTATACAACTATGCAACTTTTTTCTAACAACTTAAAAATATTATCATCATGCACTTCACAACATATACATGTCCACACATAACATATAGCAACTTTATCAACTTAATTTCAACTAGCTTCAACAATATCATAGATCAACACAACTTGTAAATAACTTCACAATTTAACTACAACATGCATCTCCAACAACATCATTAATAAATATTTAATCATATATTAGCAACACACAATATTTTCCTCGCATAACACAACTCATACTAATCAACCTAAGTACCCAAAGGAGTTCCCAACTCACATACAACCAACAACTTTACAATCTAGCTTCCCTTACCTGAAGATTGGCTCAGAATAGCCAAGAAGCGGAATTCCCTTTCCGAAGCTCAACCCGGAACTTCAATCCTTCAAAAGTAAGTTTTCTAGTCCAGAGCCCTTCTCTATAGAACTTCTCTCTAAAACCTCGTTGGGGCGTTGGAAAAGTTTTACCGTAGCCCCACGGTGGGCGCCAAAATGTTCCGGCCAAGGGATGGACTAGGGTTTCTGCCTAGGTCTAGCCTCAAAGCCAGAGCATTCAAAAGTGTAATCTCCTTTCTCAATTCTAGGGTTTTGGGTTATATGGTACGTCGTTCATGGGCCTCTTGGGCCCCGAGAATAAAGGGATTTCCCTAACCGTTCTTATCTTGATGGCGCGAGGTTAAAGGGGATAAGTCTAGTCGGGTTCTTACCGACTGGGTCCGCGCAGGGGACCCAGTCGGGTTAATGCCGAGTAGTCTCCTTAGTCCTTTTAGGCGAGAGGAATCGAGTCCCCCAGGTCGAGTCGAGTCATGACCGACTAGGTCTATGCTGAGCCCTCGGTCGGGTTGGTGCCGAGTAGGCATGGTCGCCCCACTGCCGAATAGAGGTGCAGGTCGGATTTCGACCTGGACGGCACACTTGCCTTCCAGCCCTGAGCCGAGAAGGCGAAAGGGCTTGTGGCCTGATACGATAGTCGGGAAATACCCGAGAAGAAAACCTAATCGGATTTTAACCTGGACAGTACACTTGCCTTCCAACCTTGAGCCTGTAAGGCGAGAAGGCTTGTAGCCGGGTAACCTGGTTGGGTATTGTCCGAGCAGAAGGTCAAGTCGGATTTCGGCCTGGACGGTACAAAATGTTTCGGCCAAGGGATGGACTAGGGTTTCTGCCTAGGTCTAGCCTCAAAGCCAGAGCATTCAAAAGTGTAATCCCCTTTCTCAACTCTAGGGTTTTGGGTTTTATGGTACGTTGTCATGGGCCTCTTGGGCCCCGAGAATAAAGGGATTTCCCTAACCGTTCTTATCTTGATGGCGCGAGGTTAAAGGGGATAAGTCTAGTCGGGTTCTTACCGACTGGGTCCGCGCAGGGGACCCAGTCGGGTTAATGCCGAGTAGTCTCCTTAGTCCTTTTAGGCGAGAGGAATCGAGTCCCCCAGGTCGAGTCGAGTCATGACCGACTAGGTCTATGCTGAGCCCTCGGTCGGGTTGGTGCCGAGTAGGCATGGTCGCCCCACTGCCGAATAGAGGTGCAGGTCGGATTTCGACCTGGACGGCACACTTGCCTTCCAGCCCTGAGCCGAGAAGGCGAAAGGGCTTGTGGCCTGATACGATAGTCGGGAAATACCCGAGAAGAAAACCTAATCGGATTTTTTTTTTTTTTTTTTTTAAATTTAATTCCTCCGAAAACTTGAGCCGAAAAAATAATAGTCGACTCATTTAAAAACTTAC